CGTGTTGGACAGCACACCATGTGGGGCCAAACAAGCACACTTTAATCTGTGCTTTGTATGAATATTCAGATACAGCTGTCTGTGACACAGAGATAGCAGCTGGTGTGTTTGGGCCCCTCAGATACCCCCGTGCCATGCCTGGACAGAAGCCGCTGCATCTGGGCCAAGACAGGCCCAGCCGGCCCTGCACATCCCCAAATCCCATCGGTGAGACCCACACAAGGGTCGTCAATAAACACCTTTAGCAGCCTGCAGCACACATGATGACACTTTCAGTATGTCACTATAATACTGATATAGCACGATAAATGGCTATTAATTCAAATATGTCAAGCATGCCATCTTAGATTCAACATTGATACAGATTGGATGTTGGGTTTGGTTCAAGGTATTAAAAATGTCCTCCATTACATCATTGTATCAGGCTTAATTTCTGTGAATCGATAAAATGCATACGATGTACTGGATTTTATAACCGCAGTAACAAGTATGTGTGAAAACAGATGGCATTGCTCTGTGTATTTCATTTAATTAACCAATTAGGGCTTTTGTTGAGCACTCTTGACAAAGCAGTTTACATTTAATTGAATTTCACTTAAGTGAATCACACAGACTTTACGTCAGCCAATCATGGGGCACAGTGCAGTGAACGTGACACCTGACTGTTTTGGCACGCTGCTTAAAACAGCTTAATGGTCACATTTTTCATTATGGTTAAATGTCATAACCGGCTTAGGTTGACATTTACATTTTCCCTTTTGATATGATTGTAATTTACCCTTTTTAATTACTCAATGTAATCTCATACTAATCCAATGATATTGCCATAACAAGTAACGCAAGTATGGCTGGAAGACAAAGCCTTCTATGGTGAGAGGGGTAGTGTTCGGCCGGGCCTGGTGTTACCGCCTCCCTAACAGTCTGCTGGTTGGCCCTGACAACCCTTTGCCACGGTGCCAGGCTGACAGTGTGCCAGGCACAGAGAGCAGCTGCCAGGCCAAACCAGCGGGCACTAATTCAGCCAGCCACAGGGAGCCCCCGCCATGCCTTCTTCTTCCAGGCCCTCCCTGTGGCTACAACCACCCCCTCATCTGTGCGTGCACACCCACACACCTTACACAAAGCTGGCTTTAATTATGACAAACTTGCCAAAAGCTAATCTCCCATCCGTTTTAATCAAAGACATTTGTAGCTGAGGGGGTTGCCAGTTTTCTAATAACTCATTTCTAAAATTTCTGGTGAATAAACACCTTTCCCTTTGACCAACAACGGCCTTTCTCAATCAAGCAAAGCCTGAAAATCTCTGAAAGCCACTGATGAAATAAAATCTGATATTGCTTGCTAAAGTCATAGCTACATGGACATTCTTAGATTTGTCCAAGTTAGCAGGTTTACAACATTTTAATACCCTTATTTTATCAAAATTAAGAATACATTATTTCTGAACATTAAAAGCTTCATAGGGGGGCTTGCATCATTAATTTGCATGCTTGTCATTGGCATCATGTTCATTGCACAAATCATTAACATCCCGCTCGTTTTGTCATACTCTCAGTGCAGTACTGAGCCCCGGGGACTGCAAACAGGCCAGCTACTCTGCGGTTGGTTAAGTGTCGGCCAAAATGCTCAGGAGCGTTCAGCTGCTCTTCTGATGTTTGTTGTTAAATCCTGCTGTTTCCTGAGCCTCTCCCCCTAAAGCTAGGCTTATGGTTGAAAGGACTAACTTTTTAGAGAAAGTGGTGCTATGAGCTTACTGCTAACAGCATGCTCATACTGACAAAAAACGGACATTCAGCAGTTAATATTTACCTTGTTCACCATCTTAGTTTAGTATGATAACATTATAAAAGCTATGTCTGATGAGAATATCACATAGTTTTGAGGGTATCTGGTCAAGGAAAATAATAGGCAATTCGAAATGTTGGCCTGATTAATGTTCTAGATTAACTTTTAGGGGGTCATTATTTATCCTCTGGGGACCATGAATGTCCATACACAATTTCATGGCAATCCATTGAGCAGTTAAAATAATTCGGTCTGTAACAAAGTGATGGGACAACCAGGCAACCAACATTACCATCCATAGAGCGACACTCCTAGCATCCCCAATAAAGTTTTCGTATGTAGTTATGCATGCACAGCGAGACCAGCTGAAGTCTGACATTCCTTCGGCCCGCTCTCTCAGCATCAAACACATTCTCATCTGCACCCTCACCTGTCACTCTCCCTCTATCTGAGCTCTTCTGTCCCAGCTGAAGGTCACAGTATGGAGAGGCCCTAAGGTCCCGATGCTCCATGCTGCCAGAGTAAACAAAGCGCAGCAGTTTATAAAGATGCATATTGTGTGCCTCCATCTGTTTATGAGTGTGTTTGAATGAATGTGTTCATGTTGAGGGGTCTTCCTGAGTTTGGTTTCCTGACTGCGGGAATACATACACACGGTTAGTAAAGCTGTCTGAAATATTGATGTTGTGTTTTGTTCCTATTTTTGCTGTACTTGAGCGGCCATATGGATAGGTCAGCCTTTCTCACGTTAAATATTAAATTCTCCCATTGAATACAACCAGGGGAGAGTAAAAGAGGGTCATTTTGTAACGTGAGAGAAAGAAAGAGGGAGAGGTGGTGGTTTGGTTAGGGGGTGAGGGAGGGGGGTGGGTCAGGATTCAACAATAGGTTTTTCCTAACAGATGGAAGATTGGCTACAGGGATATAGTTCAGTGTCATAGTGGAACCTGATATCTGATTATATTCCTCGCGGCTCACGCACACAAAGGGATTACATGTGGTTACATGAATAATGAAATTGAGATTATTTTGTTGACACGCGTCTAATTTGTTGTGCCACAGCAGTTGGGATCTGCTGAATACGGCCTATCAGTCTCTCTCTTTGTGCTGCATTACTCACGTAAGACCTCACAGATCGAGTTTTTCCAACAAGCCAATCAAAAAGGTTGCTTCTGGCCAAGTCTGCCACCTAGACAACTACCAGGTTAAATGAAGCTAGTCATTAGCTGAAAAATGTCCATGTGGCAGGTCTTAATCATGAGTAAACATTTAAAATGCTCACAAACAATACGATTAATCACAGTCCAGTGGTCCAAACTGTGTGTTCAGCAAACGAAATGCACCGTAATCCGAAAGTGCACTTAGTCAGCAGCGATGCATTTTAATGAAGTGGTTCGGAGTGCTAACCAGAAAACAACATGACCATCCAAACATGGTGCAGTTTGAGGGACTACAACTTGTGGTCAATTCTCCTTTTGTTTTAATAATTAACAAAAGACTATTAATTATGAACAAATCTGTAGCCTAACACTCAACGAGGTGGGATGGTTGCCTAGGAACTTTGGGCCTGTTTTGAATACCTTGTCGCTTTGGGTTTGTTATAACTGGAGCCTATAGTATGACAGTAATATAGTGGAAAGTAAATAAGGTGGTGGTGAATGGGGGACACACACAATACCTTTGTTTTGGGAGCCGTCAATAAGGCAGAGGATCCATAATGCAGTCTGGTACATGTCCCAGAGGCCTTAACTGTGGTTGAAAGAAAGTACAGAAATATAAAATAAAGTTTAGGGTAACCTGTGTCTTCTTTTAAAGTCATAAATATTGTTTATGGGTGATCTATTTCCATTATACCTTGAGCAAACAGCATGCCCGCAGGTTCCCACTTATCAGTCAAAACAATAATGGGCCTTACACAGTTGAGCAACCATTTTCGGATGCTAAATCAACACAGCTGGACATCCTAAAGTTTGTGTTTATGTCTGTGCGCTACCTTTCCGACTTGAGTCCAAAAATAGCTCGGGAGCATCCTGCTGTGATGCTGGAGGTGCAGTCATCTTTCCCCTCTGAAGGACACAACACTGTCTGAAGTTTGGGAGCAGGGGGAGTGGGAGAGGGAGGGGAGGAAGCAGTGACTACCGTGTGACAAGCGCCCTGTTCCTTCCTCCCAGGCTTGAGAAACAGGAAGTGCTGCACATAAGGCATTATTGTGACGGAGAGGAAATGCAATGTCCTCTAAAATAAGAGCCCCAATCTGGTTGTCAATGACAGGAGCCTGTCCTCCACAGCCCCACAGAGAGACCCCCCCCCCTACACACACTAACCCCCTTCACAACTTCACTGTTGAGTGACGCACATGTATAAAGCAAGCTCCCATTCTGTAGCTTTACAAGACTTCCAAATGAAATGCATACTCCATATAAAAGTCAAGAGAAGGTATTAATAGCTTCTGAAAATGTCAGTGCAGCAGCTTAAAGATCTAATCAAGTGAATCAGCTTTAGGATAATGTCATTTGTTCCATGCTGAACCCAGCCACATACAGATTGAGCAACAGCAGCATTTCAAAGGGTTAAAGGTGGCATATGGGTAGGATCCATCCTGTTTGTGTTTAGCAGAAGCTGAGGAGCTGGTTGCTAAGAGAGATGCAAGGCTTTGTGCCGGGCTGCTTCCTAGTTAATTAAAATCCTACCTTATCTGTTTCACGCTTTCAATTAGAAAGCTCTGGAAAGGGTCCAAGTCTCTGCATGAAGATAACCATAGCAATAAGATGTGATTAATATGGGGGCCCATTCGTGCAGCGGCAAGACCCTGCTGTTGTGGCCATGCCTCGTTTTGATCCTAGCCACCAACCTCTGATGATCCAGGCAACAAATGGCTGAGCGGTGCCTCTGCAAAGTCTGCATGGCACCTCCAGCAGCAAATTAAATGGATAAGATCTGCTTCTGTAGAACATGACAGGTGCTGGCCACCAACTGTGATCATGTACATCTGAACTGCAGCACTGACGGAGGCTGCAGAGTCTCACTGTTAAGCCTGTGCCAAGACTAATGGTTTTCATTAGTCATCTGTAAGCAAAAGAAATGTCAGCTAACAATGTTTTTACTCAATTAAAGGCAGATCCATCACCGTCTGTCGCTGCTTTTTCACAATCATATAACTTCAACACAGAAGACAAGCTGTACCAGCAATAAATCACACTAAGCGTACACTCGTATGGTTTAATGGGCATGGGGAGCCGTTTTTGGTTGTAGTTTTTGTTACAAAAGCCAAGGCTACCATTTTTTTTAAATAAACAATAATAAAACACTTGACTTGTACATGTTTTTTAGATGTTAAAGTCAAGAATGCAATCAATTATCACTCATTCAAAAATAAACTGAGAAGGATTTAGGGGCTAAATGCTAAAGGAAACACAACAGACAGGCTTACGTTCTGTCACAAACAATACAAACATGTTTGAATGAACTGGCAAGCAACTTCCAAACAACTAAATATTAGTGCCTTTTTTTCAAAAGACTTTTCACAATGCATCACATTTTTTTTGAACATTTTAGAGCGCTTGGCAATCAAACAAATCACCTGGCATCAGACAAACCTCGGAAACGAATATTTACTGCCATCTACTGGTCCCTTTAGGAAACGACACACATGGAACTTGATCTTGTGAGATTTGGAGGAGGAAGCCCCTTCCCATGGCAGGTAAGGCCGGGATGGATGACTGCTCCTTCCCAAAGGTCATTCCTCTACCCATTGTGTCCATGGGCCTCTCTATGCACCCTCTGCTTACACCGAGAGACAGGGGACTGTTGACAGACATTTGTTTCCTGAGGTCTGGGACTGGAGCCTGAGGTGCTGTGTCAGGGGAAACACTGGCGACTCTCGGAGGGCTCTTTGGTGGCTCGTGAAGGGGAGGATCAGCTTGTGGAGGTGACTCATCAGCTGCAGGTTCAAAGGACTCTGCCTGTCTGTGCCCGTGCTCCTCCGCTGCAGGGGAGGTCTGGGATGGAGACTGAGCCCGAGGTTTGAAGCGAGCCAGCAGTCCTTGCTCTGTGGCGGGGAAACGGTCGGCAGCCCACTTCTGTCGCTCGATACGCATTTGCTCTAGCTGTCTGAGCTCTCTAGGCAGCTCCAACACACTCTCCTGAGGATGCAAAAGGGAAGACTGAAGACTAGTGTTTTTTATAAGGATGGATTCACATTTTATTTATTTAAGTTTGTCTTGAAACAATACAGCCAGTAAAAAGAATCCTGATTGATGTTTTAGTTTCTTCTGCCTACTCTACATGTAAAGAGATTTCTGCCTAACAACATTTCAATGCAAGGGATGTGGGGCAAAATCAAGAGTCCTCATTCACTGAAAAAATAAAAACAAAACATGTGAGACTCAAGCAGTTCAATCCTATCAGGAAGTGTTCTTATGGCAGCCAGTAGGGACAGGAGCAACTATTACAGTGACACAATGTAATTGGTGGCATGTGAGCATTTGTATTGATACACTTGAAAACTCAGCATCATATCTTTTGTCTTTTAAATGAGCTTTTTTATGAAAGCAATTGGCATCATTTATTACCATCTTGCAACAGCCACACTTAGCAGATTTGTGTCTTTCTTTTGTCAGGGAATTTCCTTTATTGATTGCTGTCTGGATGTGAAGAGTACTTTAGCAAGTGTAACAAAGATGTTCCTAAATACATAACCGACCCTAGCTTTGTTGACAATAATTTAGATAACATTTGTCAAAAACTGATGACAACTTTCCCCTCACTACTCGTGTCTGATATCGTGCCTGTATTGGTTGATATCAGGCACGGCCCTACATAGGAATATTTCTCCAGCTGTTTTGCAGCATGCTCTCATTGTTTTGAAACAGAATCAAAATTGAATATAACAAAGTCGACGGCTGGTCTTAAATGAGTAGTCGGCTGTTTGGCCGGCAGCAGGGCCGTATATGAATAATTCTTTATGCCCTGGACATGTGCTCATGTGTGAACTACCCACCATGCTGACATGCTCCATTTCACCAGGTTCATATTGGCTGCTGCACAGGTATGAATCCACCAGGGTAATGTAGTCCGTCATGAGAGTATCCAGCAGCACCAGTCTGAGAGGCTGGAGGTGGATCGCTGACAGAGCCATGACCTTCAGCAGGGGAACAGGACAGGGCCGCTTGTACCACATCTCCCTTTCTTCCTGTAAACACACACACCAGCGATTACAGTTCATACAGATGCAACTATACAGTTTGGCTTAAAATATTTGAAAAACATATTTAATATTTTGTTATTGACTGATATAAAAACTGGGATATGATTAGCAATGACAGAGGGAATGATCTAGTTTGCATCATTATTCACATTTTGATAGAAACATATATCAAAAATGATCATTGTGTAATTATTTGCAAGGATCTGAATCAAATAAATATTCTTTTCACAAGTCTGTAGAACACGATTTGTGATCATGGACCTCTCTGAAGAATTACAATACTTAAGTCAGGATGATATTTTGAAACATATTTTGCCTTTAACAAATACAGTGCCTCCTGCGAAAAATTACACTAATCCATATTGCCATTTCAATTTTGTATTGAAAAACACTACTATACACCAAATAAATGTTCTCAAATGAGATGTGACTGTACCTTTGTGAGCTGTGACTTCATCTGAAGGGACAGGAGCTGGGAGGACGGCACCTTCAGGTGGAGACTAACCACCTGCTGCAGAGTGCTGACTCTGTCCGGGAGAAGACCTCCAGTGTTGGAGTAGAAGCACATGACATCTGCTACCTAAAACACAAACAGAAAAAGAGCAGGTAAAAAGTAAGGTCTATTAAACATACAGAAGAGAAAGTAGGCCATTGTACACTGAACATGTACCTGCGTATCAAATACGTTGGTCAGCTTTACCCCAAACTGAGTAATCAGACATCCAGCAAGGGCTCTGCAATCATGAATGACCTGTACAAAACGCACAGCATAGTTGTTACGTTAATAATCAGAACTTTGACTGAATAGTATTTATAGTGTGTTTATAACGCTTACCTTCAGCATGTGCTTATTTTCCAGGATCATGGAAAGACCGTTCTTAAAGGCCCGAGGTCCAAGTAACAAGATATCGAATAGGTACACCTTGTGTTTAGTGGCAATCTAAATGAATAAAGACACATTCAGTTTAAAATATGAATCTATATTATTTTCATGAAGGAAAACAAGGCAGCTAGAGACGGAGGGAAGGATTAAAAGAAAAGCAGGAATGCAGAACTTCTCACCTGCAGCCAACACAGTCTCCCGTGGTCAAATACCTCGACTCCATCAGCTCCCACACCTATCACACGCTGCTTCTTGATGTCCATCACCTGACAGAGAGAAACTTAAGACATTATCGAGAGATTTTGAGACAACAGGTCTCAGTAAATATGCCATCACCATTATTTGCTCACGTGGACTTGAAAAAGGTGCAATTTTAATGATCTTTGTAACAGAAAAGGAACCTAAAATCAACTTACAGCAGACACAAACTTTTCTTGAAACTCATCTATGACGACAAAGTTTATAAACTCCTCTTCATCATCTGTAAAAAGTAAAGGATCCACTCAATAGTAAACATGCTTACATAGCTTGGATATAGCTTTAGCAAAAACACCAGACAAATGATTTGTATACTCACCCAATGTGATTGTCTTCCTGTATGGTTGAAACTTTTTCACATTCAAATGCTCTTCAAGGCTGGACTCACAGACATTGCTGTGCAACAACAACACATTGCATGTTAGAGTTAAAAAGCAAGTCAAAGCCAGCACAGTGTGTTGTCACCATAGACTGTGTATATATAAGGTTGTTCTCGAAGATGACACGATTACATACCTGCTGCCAGTGTTGGCTCCATTGGTCAATTCCACTGTTGATTAAAATATACAAACACGCCATGTTAGATGTCAAAACTTTAACTAAGATATTTCTCAATAGTAATATGCAGAGGTGGAAGAAGTACTCAGATATTATACATATAAAAGAAGAAATACCAGAGTAGGATTACTCTGTTACAAGTAAAAGTCCTGCATTCAAAATCTTACTCAAGTTAAAGTGGACCTATCATGCTATATTTAAATGATATATTGTAGGGCCATACCTATATAAGGTATATTTATACGTTTCTGTTTTCAAAATACCAAACAGATCATGCATTTTAGCCATGCCTCATTTCGCTCTGTGTGCGGTTTGCTGTCTACGGGTCTGATTCTGCTGACCACGCCCCCCTGCAGGAGAGGTGAGCCGTGCTCTGATCAGCTGCTGGGCTGTCAGAAGAGGGGGAGAAAAAGAGATCTCCGTCCTCCGTGTTTTATTATATAGAGTCGTTATTCATTTGTTTTAAAGCTCAATAAATAACAAAGAAGACCTTTGACCGGCACTTTTCTAATTTTGTCCGGAAGATTTCAACTTTAACGGACATCTTGACCGGCGAAAGAAACTGAAACTGAAACTCTGCCGCACGGTCCCCTCGTTCCTTGGAAGAGGCGGAGAGGTGGGTGTTTGTCATCTGCTGGTGGACTAACCGGAGAGAATTACAGTGCTTGCCTCGACGGGGAGGGATTGCATTGAATTAAAGCAGCGGGAGCAAACGTTTGTCTCAGGGAGGGAGAAAAAAAGCCACAGCGGAGAATAAACAGAAGGGTAACCATGGTAACTATGGGTGGGAAGTCTTCTTCGCTGCTTTTGTGGCAGACTACAGCGCCACTTACAGGCCTGGCATATGTACTACAGCGTCTCCAGCGCTTTCGAGCGGCAATGGCCGGCCGTGGCCCAACCCCACATTCCCCTGATAGGTGGAGAGTTGGCCCAATAGCCGTAGTGCCACTTCTGTGACGACATAGAAGTGTTCAAATCTGGATCAGTCTGTATCAGATCCGTTGCAGCCCCTTTTTTAGAGATTTGGGTATGGAGGAAAATAGAGAGGGTTGTGTTTTCTGACACTTGGTGAGTTCCCTGGAACACCGGGGACACATATTCATATATAAAAGACGTACAAAAGTGCATTTTGCACGATAGGTCCCCTTTAAAGTACAAAAATATTAGCATCAAAATGTACTCAAAGTAACGAAAGTAAAAGTACTCATTATGCAGATTGGCCCTTTTCAGAATGATATATAATATATATATATTAGGGCTGTCAGTCGATTAAAATATTTAATCGCATGATTGTCCATAGTTAATCGCGATTAATCGCACATTTTTTATCTGTTCTAAATGTACCTTAGAGGGATATTTTTCAAGTTTTTAATACTCTTATCAACATATGAGTGGACAACTATGCTTTATATGTTTGTTTATTATCATTTGAACAATGACAAATATTCTCATGAATATTAAACACAACAACCTCTGAACATTACAAATATTCGCCTCAATTCAACCTAGAACCTCTCTCATACAATAATACGTGTGTGTGTGTGTGTGTGTGTGTGTGTGTGTGTGTGTGTGTGTGTGTGTGTGTGTGTGTGTGTGCGTGCGTGAATGTGGAGACACTGTGATGGATTGTTGGAGCTATGTGCAGCTCAAGGCATATATGCCTGTGTGTATGAGCTGTGTTGCGCGCACTATCCGTGCTGAGTGTGCTGTCTGGCTACCTGCATAAAGTCAAGTGCTCGGCGCAGTTGTCGGCGAAATGTCGCTCCTCTGTTTTCATTGAAACAGCTCCTTATATCCGTTAGCTCAGCTAGCTAGCACCAGATGCTAACAACAACACGTAAGGTGTGCTTCGCTCGCGCCACACATACACACACCCTCCCGGTCCTCCCGATGGCCAGTCCGGGCCTGCCGGTGAGTCTGCCACAAGCGGGCAGCAGGAGCGGGGCTGTCAGCATCAGCTTGTAGATGGTATTTTAAACTCGATGCGCTCTGAAACTACGGCGGCCGAGGACAAAAAATACACATGCGTTAATCGCGTTAAAATAATTAGTGGCGTTAATTTTTTTTTGCGTTAACGCGTTATTAACGCGTTAACTTGACAGCCCTAATATATATATATATATATAATTAATTGTAATGAAAACATATGATAGATATATATCTACAAACAAATGTATTGATATGTTTATCAAAGCTGGTAAAGGTGGAACTAATTTACAGCGGAGCCCCGCGCCCCCCCTGAAATTCAAGGTGTTTAAAAAAAAAAAAAATTATAATCTTTTTTTTTTTATATATAATTTTTTTTTGTTATATATATATTTATAGCACTAAATTGCAACTAATCTATATCTACTGTCACGTTTCACATTGAACATGTGCAAATGTGCTCTTTTATTAAATAAACTAAACGCTTTCATTTTAAGTTGTGAGTTTAGTGTTTTTGACCCTAACGCAGCCTACACACGGCGGCGTGCGTTGCCGCTTGGCGTCTTGAGCTTGGGGAGTTTACGCGAGCAACGCGACCAACAACCAATCACATGAATCTCTGCTGTCAATTGCATAAAAGGTTTTACATGTCACACTTTATATGATGAATATTTATGACATTAATGTCTATGGTGCTATTTTACGCAACATTCCATGCTGGCTAAATACTGTCTATGCCTGCTAGCTGTCCATTCAAACGAAGTACACTGGATATAAACTCCCCAAACAGGCGAAAACCTACCAGTTTCACCCACTGTCTCTGCCACCTCCCTCCATGCCTGGCTCCTCCGGTTTGTATCCCGGTAGGTGAACAGGGACTGAAAGCACCGGGTGATTCCCCTACCGCTACGATTATTTTCTCCTCCATTTTTTGGCATATGAGGAAATGAACTGCGGTCTGGCTCTCTCAGCATACACGCGGTTTGATTGGCTAGCGCTTGTACTGGCAGATTTGCATACGCGGGATTTGATTGGCTGACGCCTCCGCCTCAGCTTCAAAAGTAGAACATTGCTCTACTTTTGCAGCGAGTGTCACTACCCGATCGGTCCACCTGCCCGATCTGTACTGCGCATGTGCGAGATGGTCCGCCATATTGGACAACTACATACGGCAACTCTAATAGGACACTTGACACAGTGGCTTTTGGCAAAGCAGAAAAAGAACTGATAGAGATTAGTTATTGTTATTACAACGTGACTTCACTATTATTTAATATTTAATTATTTAGCTCTAATCGCTGCAGTCTGCAAACAAGAACCCGTGGAATCACCTTTCACGTGTAAGATATGACAATATTATGACTATAATTAGGATAATTGTTAATTACTTAGTGGATGTATGTACATTACAAGTCCTGCTACACAGGATCAGTGGGGCTATGTGAGATAATAGTATTGCAAGATTGATGTTGACCCAGCCTCTTTAGAATATGTTGCAACCATTTCTTTACACAATTATTTAATGTTTCTTTTGGACACCTTTTTTATAACTCTTAGTGTGGTTGTCTTATTCTTAAAGTATACATTACTTACATACATACATACATACATACATACATACATACATACACCCCAAAAATATGATAATTTCGGTGTGTATTTTTGTCCTTACCCTTAATGTTAAAGGAAAGAAGGGAGGAAAATGTTGACAATAATTGATATATCTGGCTACCTTTCTCATGTTTTTAAGGTTTCCCAAAACCGGAGAGAGGAGGAGGCAGTGGGAAGTTGCCCTAAGAAGGGACGGTTTTGTTTCCTGTGGCAGGACACTGCTCTGCAGTGAGCACTGCAGGAGTGAGGACTTTGACAGGACGGGGCAGACTGTCCGGCTTAAAGATGGTGTTGTGCCAACAGTATTCAACTTCCCAGCTCATCTTCAAAGGGTATGTGTATCATTGGCCAACAAGAATTCAAGGTGTATAAGATTGATATATAAATATGTGATTAAATGTCACACTTTAGTTTTTCTTTCTGCAAGTTTAGGAATAAATAATGTGTTGTGTATTACAGCACATTTTAAACACTCAAAATGTCTTTAATTATGTTTATTTTAGCCAGAAGCAACAAGAAGCACAACCACTTCAAGAAGAGCCGAAGATGAACCTCAGCCTAATGTTGTGAGTATTCTGAATGTGGCCAAGACCAGAGAGATGGTCATTGATTTCAGGAGGGTGAGGACGTCTCCTCTACCCCTGTGCATTCTGGGAGAGGATGTGGCTGTTGTGGAGGACTACAAGTACTTGGGAGTGCACTTAGACAATGGGCTGAACTGGAGGATCAACACTGACGCTGTGCACAAGAAGGGGATGAGCAGACTCTATTTTCTGAGGAAGCTGAGATCCTTCAATGTGTGCAGCAAGATGCTGGAGATCTTCTACCAGTCTGTTGTGGCTAGTGCACTCTTCTTTGCTGCGGTCTGCTGGGGGGGCAGCATCAGAGCCGGTGACACCAGCAGGATCAATAAACTGATCAGGAAAGCTGGGTCTGTCCTCGGCATCAAGCTGGACCCCTTTGAAGCTGTGGTGGAGAGGAGGACACTGAACAGGCTGTTGTCCATCATGGATAACCCCACCCATCCTCTCCACCTGCAGCTGGACAGTCAATGGAAATATCTGTGTAATATACTTGCATATCTTGTGTTTTTTTAAGGTGGCTGGAATAACAACCCTAATGCCAGCCAGTTCAAGTACATCTTCCGGAAGCTGATGGCCCGGTGTGGGGTTGTTAAACCAAGCAGCAAAGGTAATTTGACGGCACAGGATGACACAGAGTCCCTACCAGCTGTAGCAATGTCCTCTGCTGCCCAGTCCTACCACATCGACACATCTACAAACCTGTCAGCTGTAGATATGTCCTCTGCAGAAGAAGGAGAAGATCTTCCATCCCCGTTTGCTGACATTCCTGCCCTTGTACATGACCACAGCTACCTTCCCACCCACTTCGATGGTCTTGTGGACAACGCTCTTGTGTACATTTCAGGTAGAGGTCGACCGATAGTGTATTTAG